CGGCGAGGGGACCTGCAGGGCGGGGGGGACACGACCTGCCGCTGCCGCGCCGAGGAGGCAGCCTGTGCCGTGGGACCGAGCTGCTGCCCCTGCCTTCTCCTGAGGGAAAACGTTAGGCGTGTTTCCCTTCCGACAGGAGGAATGAGCGCATTGCCAAAGAGTCATGGACAAAAAAAGGACCAATTCCTTTAAGGTGACAATATTTAAACCCAAACACCAACATAATTAAGAGTAGCCTTGTATTTTTTTAGTCCCACCTGAGAGGAAGATCCACAGTGGAGATGCTGGGTGACTTTCCCCAGGCCACAGAGCAGGGTGAACTGCGCTGCCATGGCTATTTTCCCAAGCGTTTCCAGTCGTCTGAGAAACCCTCTCAACGGTGCGGTTGATTTCCACATGGGGACATGTCTCCATATGACAAGGGGAGGCTGAGGCTGTGGATTTTGGGACAGCAAAGGTTGGAAACCATCAGCATGTGCCCTTGACTCATCTCCCCCGTCCCAAGGTAGCAGTGAAAAGTTGGTGTGGAGGAGCTGGGAGCCACTGGGCAAATTAAACATTGAACAGAACCAGAGAATAGCAGGTTTGTAGGTGTTAAATAGAAATGGTGCTTTTGACAAGAAATCGACCAGAGTCACTGCTGCCCGGCCAAAACCAGACCTGAGCCACCATTTACTGCTGCTCCTTAAAATACCAGCTGCTTTTACAGCAGCTGGAGACCACCTCCCCCTGCCCCATGCTGGCCAAGTGATAAGCACAAAGTGAAAAAGGTCTCTGGAGCACTTCCAAAGCAAATACAGACACTGTATGAATTTGTTAATTACACCCCATTTCCACCCAACTTTGCTCCTCTGCCATTATCCCTCTCCATCCATCGCTTCCCCAGTGACCTGCTGACGAGGCACCCAGCACGACAAAGCAGAGAAAGCAGGGAGCTGGTGCTCCTGCCCTCCCTGCCTGCAATATCCTGACTCTGGGTGGGCCACAAGTCTCCAATAAAACAGGAATCTGTGAAAAAACAAGAGCAGCACCTCCCCAGCTGGCTTCCTGGCTCCCTCCAGCTGCTCCTCCACACCAGAGAGCGGGCATCCCTGAGCTCAGCACTGCCCTGCTGACAGGAAAGTCACCGCTTTATGTTCCAGCCTTATCTTGCTGTGGTATGATTTCTAGCCACATACTGGTTTCTTTAATGCGGTCAGTGACTTTAAAACACTTTAGAAGTGTCTCTTGCAGGGATTTCTACAGATGTCACCACATGCTGTATGGCATGAGAAAAAAAAACCCTCCTATGTTTGCTCTGCCACGCTCCTGCTGTGGGCAACCACAGAGGCATTTACCCACAAACTCTTTTGGCAATTTAGAAGACAGATGCAACACCTCTAGCCCTGCGATGGCCTTCATGCTTTGCACCCATTCAGGAAACTGAAAACTCATGGCTGAATTGAGACCAGTTAATTTCCCCCCCTGCTAAAATGTGAGGTGACCCTAGAGGGAGGGAGTTTGCTACCAGTATCCCACTACTGTGCAGCCAAAGGGTTTCTAGAGAGCAGTGATGCTGCTCGCCCAGCTGTTCGCCGCAACACCCTCTCTACCGATCTCACCAGTAAAGTTTTTTCACCTGAGTGTTTATTGCTCTGGGCAGCAATCACCATTTGAGTTCTCGGGGGCCACATGTCTGACAGTTACTTTTGGGTTGCTTTCCAACAACTTTGCAGAAAAGCATCTACTAAAAATCATCTGAGTGCTTCTGGTTGTATTTTATTTCCAAAGACAGGAAGATGCAAACAGAATGTCCTTCTGGAGTCCACTCTGTCCAGGTCTAACGTTTCTTCCCACCTCCACAGCAGTGTGCAAATGGGGGCAGAGCAGCTGGGAAACAGCTTGCTCACTTCACTGTCCATTATGTCTGACAAGACGTGATACATTTGAAACAAGCCTCCTTGAGTTGATACCTCCCCTTCTCTCCTCCCCTGCCTGATTTTCCTGCCTGCAGTAATAAATTCAAGCATGAATTCATCCCACAGGCAGCTGCATACTCCTTGGCACAGATAAGGATGGATAAGAGGTCTCGGAGCGCTTCCAGGGAGTCTCATAGGAGACGCAGAGAGTCCCCAGCTACACAGAGCAAACGAGAGAAGAGGGAGAGCGGTAGAGAAGCCAGCAAAGGAAGGGGAGACATAAAGCAGGAGAATGCAAAGGAGATCAAGAGCACCGCAGGAACTGGTGATAGGGTCCACACATCCACAGTGGTGGACGTGGATGATGTGATATCTGATGAAGAAATGGAGGCCATGGCATTGCTGGACAGCGAGCGGCAAGAGGAAGGTATGGCTTATAGAAGGGAAGGGGCTGGAAAGCTGTGGGCTTTTTGACCCTGTGTGGGTCACAGTATGACTTCTCTCTGCACGGTGACTGTCATCACACCTACCTTGCACAGACGGTTATCCTCAGGACACAATATGGGAGACTCCAGCCGGCCTCCCAGCCAGATTCTGCAGTCAGCCCAGGCTGACCAGCACTGTCTAGCAAGGCAATGAACTTTATAACAAGCGGTTACATCCCCAGCATCCTTCATGCTTCAGCTTGCTACTCTCCAGTTATACTCGTGCTGTACTCTCTTCCTTTTCTTGCTCGTCGCTCTTTAGGTGGACGGAGTTAGGCTTAGTGCCAGTTCATAGCCCAAAGGACTGCACTGCAGGGAAGAACTGTGCTTCACGTGCACACTTGTAGCTCTGCTTCTGGATAGCCTTCAAGAGCAGCTCCCCTCTAGGCCATGTGTTTGTAGGTGGATTCCCAGCCTGCCACGATAGGAAGGAGCATCGTGAGACTTTTGGCAAGATGGCTGGGCCTCTTTGGACCCAGCGTCACCCCAAGCATGGCAGATGTCTGTTACAGGAGCCAGCATCATTTGTCTGCTTCCATGCCAGCAGCTCTGCTGCCCTAGAGTGACAGGAAGGTTCAGACTTGCTCCTGTCTCTCTGGGAACTAATTTTTCACAACTGTCTCTTTCTGCCTCGATTACAGGAATCTCAGCTAGTGAGCAGTACTGTGGAGCTCTAGCGATCATGCAGGTTCTCAAGATCTGAACATCCCTCAGGACCTGGTGGCTCTGCAGAGAGCTCCAAAGGCAAAGGGGCAGGGATGGAAGGGCTAGAAGGGATGCAAAGTGAGAGGGATGCAGGATTGCTAACTTCACTGCTGGAAAACATGGTCCACCCTCTGGGTCTAGGTACACCCAGAAGTAATCTACCCATTTTCATGCCATAGCTGTGGATTTTCCTTTAGGCAGGAGCACAACAAAGGGCATCCAGAGCAAGATGACCCACACTCACTTTGGGGAGATGTAGAAGGTAATATTCATCTGGGGCTGACCACCTTAGTCAGCCTTCAGCACCTTGGTGTGACTGCTGTAGGGCACAGGGAGATTTCAGCAGCACCAGTGGCTTGGTCCCACTGCATTAGGGAGCTGGGATGTGACTAAAATCCTATTCCAAAAGGACCTGAGATTCTCAGGCACTTCAGGCTATGCATGTTGAAAGCTACCTCCTATTTACAGTCTTTCTCTTTGCCATTAGCTATCTTCCCAGATAAGCTTCTGGGATCCCAGCTCAGCCAGCAAGTTGACCAGTCTAAGCCTCTCAACACTGCTTGGTGGCCACAGGTCTTCAAACTAAAGGCTGCTCTCTAGTCAAGGCACTATGGAGAATCATGGCTCGATGTCTGCCAGTAAAGCAGAGACAAAATCTGTCAGTCCATCCTGGCAACTCCTGGCCACCTGGAGCAGGGAGTATTCTTTAAGCCAGCTCCAGAGAGAGCCAAATTGTTCACATACACCAGGGCAAAGGACAACACAAGCTGACCTGTGCAGGCACTTTTCAGGCCATCAGTATTTTGGGAGCAGTCCTCTCCTAACACAGTCATGTTGGATTTCTCCCTAGGTATAAAGTCTCCGGGCCTGGGCATCTGTGAGTGGCTTCTGACCATCTTGTCTTTCCTGTTTGTCATAATGACCTTCCCCATTTCTGTCTGGTTCTGCATGAAGGTAAGAATAGACATGAGGCCTCTCTAGGTTTAGTATTTTGTGTCTGATGTGGATGTGTGTAACCCACTGGTTCAGCATGTGTCAGACATGAGCATAAAACTTTTTTGCTCTAAGGCCCTCTTTACACTTCTTCAACTCATTGTTAATTTTGACTTATACTTTCTCACATGTTGCTGCCATAGAGGGCTGCACAGGGGTCCAACCACTGCCTATCAGATAATCCTGCTGCAATACCAGCAAGCAGGGGCTTAGATTTCTCTTTTTTAAAACAAATTGCAGATGCGTTCACTTTCAAACATAATCTTCAGCCTACCCAGCCCAGAGATGGCTGCATTGCAGCAGCAGGGTAAATAGGTTTTGCACTAGAAATTTTGAGAGATTGATCACAGAATCATAGAGTGGTTTGGGTTGGAAGGGACCTTAAATATCATCTAGTTCCAACCCCCGATCTCCCTATTAATAGCAGATTTTCCCCTCTCCCTCCCCTTTTCTCAGACTCACAGCATGGCTACAAGTAGGCGTATTTTAATTCCCACTTCTCAGGAAATTTCACGTGCATCTTGTTCTCAATGACTGTCAGTACTATGGCTCAGATCTTACACATGTGAGCACATGCACACATGGTTCCCTTAGAGGGAGACAACCAACATGGAAAATTTTATCTCAGGGTGTTGAAGTTTATCCAAGCTATAAGGAAGCAGAATGCCAGCCTCACGCTGGAAACCCTGAGCAGCTCTAACGTGGGCTACTCTCACCAAATGTCAGCTGTCACAGGGCTGCTCTGATGGTGCTCACACACAAGGCCAGCCAGCCGTTCTGAGCCAGGTTCTTTGTGGGGGTAAAGGGACTCAGTGACAGGTGACTGCGCTAGCTCACACGTCCTGAAAGCCTCCCTTTGCAGGGCTTTCCCAGAACAGACTTCCCTTTCCCCAGTTCTACACCTTCTTCTCCAGCTCCGATTTTGTTTCCCTCTGCAGGTAGTGCGGGAGTATGAGAGAGCCATTGTCTTCCGACTTGGGCATCTCCTTCCTGGCAGAGCTAGAGGGCCTGGTAAGACATCTGCTGAGCTCCCCCCCGCCATATCACTCCTCTTCTTCGTGCTCTACCAAAGATGGCATGCAGGTGCCCTCCAAGCAGGCACGGCCATACAGGAGATGGGATGCCTTTGCTCCCTTCTTCTTAAGGGCCAGTAGCTTCTAATTGCTTTCCCCGTCACAGAAGCAGCCTTAGAATTTGGGCCTATGGATTGCTGTTCCTTTGTAGTTCTGCATGCCAAACCCTCCTCCGTTCTCCAGAGCAGGAGAGACAATTTGTGTGGTTCTGATGATCAGTAGCTGCCTTTCTTTTCCTCCCGCAGGCCTTTTCTTTTTCCTTCCCTGTCTGGACACGTATCACAAGGTAGATCTCCGCCTCAAAACCCTAGAGATCCCCTTCCATCAGGTATGGCTGACATTCCCCCTCTATATTAATTTTTTGATTAATTGAAGTTAATGAATTTAAAAGCATTGCTAAAAGTTTGTCAGACTGATGAAGCAGGACATTCTCGTTCACAAACAAAACATTGAGACTAAGGAATGTGAGGAATACATTGAAGTTCAGTGAGTTTTCGATTACCAATAAACCCCAAACCCAAATTTTCCTCCCTCCTCCCCCCAGTGGCACAG